GCACTCCCCGTGGTATATGCGGTAGAAGATGCATGGAGATGCAACGTCTCTTCGCAAGGCCAGTGGATCAAGCCGATCGGAAAGCACTTGATCGTCGACGATTCATGGTTTCCGTTAAATACGGTCAAGAGGAAGGAGCTGATACTGAGATGTCCCAGCCCAAAGATGAGAACAGTATTCTATATGCGGCCGAACCTGCGCTTTGTAAAACTGAAAGCGGTGGGCTGGCATGAAATACCGTCTTGGTCTACTGAGCACAGCAATCTTTTTGTAGGAAGCGTGTAGGCAGTGGATGGATACAGGTGTCTCAGGACTGTGATTTGAGACATTGCTTGACGAAGACCTCTGTTCAGTAAAGGACTTGTTATGGCCTACAATGGTGAAGGTGAAATAAAACAATCTGAAAGAAATACAGAAAGTTGGTGGTTTTGGCAGCTTGACTGTGCTTTGCAAGCCCTAAAAAGCAACAAGGATGTTTAGCAACTGACTGGTCATTGCAGTTGACTTGTGGTTGCGATCAATAACAATGCTGTTCAAAAAATGCTTACTTGAAAATTAGTAGTTTTTTTTTATAGAACAAGGGTGACGAACGAGCTCACAATCCACCTGATAGTAGGTGGATGCTGTGGCCCATACACATCTACATTTATTCTTGGTTAAGAATCAAAATGCAGATGCTTTGCCACTCCTGAGAGCTAAGATGGAATACCCAGATTCCAGTAAAAAGGGTTCTCTACACTTGCCATACGAAACACAATATAATATAATGTTATAGCATTAAGCTGCTATTTTACGCTGGTATTCTGTGAGAGCCTGGCCTTACCATGGTTAAGCTGACCCATTCGTGCTAACACCATAACATAGCTGTACCAAATCTGTAGGGAAAGAGATAGTTAGTTACCCTTTTTACAAAGCGGTACTAATTACACTAATTACTCGGACCTTTTCCTTGATTAAGAGCACAGGTAGAATACCATAGGAGTATCCAAGATCACTTTCTACGATCTTTAAAGCTATAGAAAACTATAAAAATGAATGCGAATGATATATCTGAACGTGACAGTCACGTAACTTAACGTTAAATGTTAAACTTTATTATAGAAATTTAACTTAGCAGACCACGCAGGGATTAGGAATTAAGCCGAAGCTCAAGGGATAAATGTTTGCTCTATAGTTACATAGTATGCGAGGAAAGTGAGTTCAATTTCGAATCGAGGTCAGCCCGGCGTTTAAGGAAGACATTGTGCGAAAACTTGCATTTGTGAAAGATTAAAAACTTTGATATATGTGAAGTCTGCCAATACGCATTCGAGCAGGCAGGGTTTTAAGGGTAAGATCATAGGAGAATTGTGCCTAGTTCTGAGACGTATACTGTGACGTAAGCTGCTATTTGGCATTTTGATTTTTAAATCTGCTATTGACTTCAAGAGCCGTGGTAGCTCAAAGCACGCGGACGCTTACACGAACTGGATTAGAGCAGTGAGCTAATTGCGTTATAAATGAGTTCTGTGCCCAGCTGTGGGACCATTAGTTTAAATTTTTTGTTTTTACCATTGCCATTACAGCATATAAAAATCCACTGGTGAACAGGCCTCCCGTCACGTTTGCTTCATGGTGGGGGGGGGGGGATTTGCCACATTTGCCACGATTGGCAAGCAATTTTTATAATTATAATTTTGAGATGTTGTCAGTAAGATGTTGTTGCCTATATCTTGTTTCAGTTTCCCTCAGTCGCCTCTTACGACACCCACGGGACGATATGGAGTAGTGCGATATTCTGGTATTTTCCACTGCCACTACACCTTTAACAGGTTTGTTTTTAAGCTATTATAAGATAAACAATTCTCAATGTATGTTACTTGTAGTATAACTAAACACGTTAACTATAAATTAAATCCTTAGTTTGTGTCTCTAATACATAGTAATAAAGCAACACCATTCAGCGAACGGAATTCGTATTCTACTCCTACATGCAGATCGGTCCTAGCCAAGTTAAAGTAATTGCCTCAATATCCCTCCGGTCGAGCGAGTTGGCTAATATTGTTGTTAAACGACTAATAAAGTTAAGGTTTTTATGGTGTAAAACCTTTTTAACATTGGGGTTTGAAAAATATTTAAGAGCCTGTTTTGGGGAGGCTCATGTTCAGCTGTGGAGTTGTGATCGGTTGTTACGATGATGATGATGATGATATTTTGGGAGGTACTATTGTTAGTGGATGGTAAATGAACACTGTTTGTTCCAAAAATGTCATTCTAAGGTGTAGAGATAAACTTCGTTAGTTTAAAACCTTGCAATCGGAATACCCTACATTTTATTATAATATATATATGCCATTTTGTTTGATAACTTGTTGCCATCTTGTAGGTAGTGACATAATCCCATTGCTGTAGAAATCTTGGGATCTTGGATTAACAAAATGTAACAAGTAGTTACACAGTCCTCTCTTTATGTTAACCTAACATTACCCAAAGAATACTGAAGATACGGAAGCAGCTGAAAATCTGAGGGAGCTAGGTCAACTATATGCCAAAGATTTGCGTGGTCTGGCGTTATCATGATGAAAGACCGCTTCTTTCCTGTTGAGCGATTCCGGCCGTTTTTCCTCAATTTCTTGCTTGACTCTTATTATTTATTGGCAGTAAACATCCGAATCGATGGTTTTGCCTGGCAGTAAAAGCTCATAATAAACGATGCCCTTCCAATCCCACCATGCACACAGCATCACCTTATTGCGTGTTAATCCGGGTTTCGTTACAGTCTGTGGGGCTTGACTACCCTTTGACCATGATATTTTTCGCACGTTCTTGTCGTAGGTTGATTCACTTTTCATCACCAGTGATCGATCTTTTCAAAAATGGTTTGGTTTCATTACGTTTCAATAGAGAATCGGAAATTAGTACACGATTCATTAGGTTTCTTTCAGTGAGTTCGTGTGGTACCATAATATCAAGCTATTTTGTATAGGTCAAAACTGTTTTGTGGTCAATCCTCAATTTCTCGGCTATGTCGAAACTACTAATATGCCGAACTTGCTCATCTATTTTAAAAATGGCATCAACTTTATCTGTATCAGGAGCAGAGCGAGCATCTTTGACATCAAAATTCCCGGACTGAAAATGCTTGAACCAACTTTGTGCTACTCTTACTTAACCTGCATTAGTTCCATCAACGTCACAATTTTTTAAATAAAACTTCAGAGTGATTTCTTCATTAGATTCACACATTTTAGCGGACAGAAAAACAATTGAAAAATGGCGGGAAAGTGTTTTTTACTTTTTATTTTCTCTTTCTTAATGTTCTATATGTCTAAATCTAAATACAATGTTAAATCTAAATATTAAAACCAGCCAGATGCAAACAGTACAACGAAAAGATTTTTCGTCAATATTATACAAACAAAATACGAAGAAACTTTTTCCCCGTCCTATTAATTTCCTAAGTGATTGGACATTTTGTCTGAAATTTGAATAACCGGACCTTAATTATCAGGGTATGACTTTATCATATTTCAACTATTACTACATTATATTACAAAATACAATATTAAATGCGCTATAATACGTATTTCTTGGTTGCATAAGATACAAGTAAGCAATAACTTAATATTATGTCTTCCTATTCTCCTAATTTACAATAACGTTATGACATTTAGTGAAAGCGGAAAAGTCGAGATTTCGGAGTACATTTTCCGTGTTCGGCCACCTGAATGTACGCATTTCATATAAATATTATTTTATTCTATATTTACAGAAAAGAAAGTCTCACAATATTTTGAAGATTTTTCTTTAAGTAAAAAAAAAAAACGTTACCCCCACACTAGGATTTTCTTCTGTGTCGTAGAGGTAGTTTACAAAAATAAATTGCACAAGGACAAACATCCAGACCCGAAACAATTATTTGTAGGCCATACAAATACTTGTTCCGTGCGGGATTCGAACCAGCGGCCCCCAGCGCAACAACTGATTGCTAAGCCACTGCGCCACGGAGCCGTCCGCCGCCGAAGATTGCAAGCAACCTGTTTGTGTAGATCCTAAATTTAAATCAATCGCAATTCATAACTTTGAAAGTGACGTAACTTATATGAATTTAAAAAAAATATTAATAGCTTGTGCTTGCTGCAGGTATTTACAGAATGTTCATCACTATTTAAACATATAAATAAATTTGAAGCGTTAAATGTAACAAATTTTACTGATTTTATCGCATTTAATTTTAACTTTTTGATTCCCACCATTTTCACTTTTTATTTACAGTACCCATGGTTACGGGCGAGACTGAGGTGTTTGTTGTCATAGTTAGCCCGGCTACCTTCAGCTTTTGAATATTACAAAAATTTTGAAGAAAAATATGTTAACTTGATTCATAAAAAATGGCAATTTATTAATTTTTGGTCCGATCTACGCAGAACGAGCTTATAGTATCTTGAAGTCTTGCAGTGGTACAAGAAGAAGAAGAAGAACATATTTATTCGTTGCTGCAACTTGCAAAACATCAGTTTTACAAATATATAAAAACAAAAAAAAGATATATCCCTATACTTGGCAAGAAAAAATATTTTAGAAGTATTGAAAAAAATTATCTTAAATATGTTCTTGGGTGGTTATTGAAGGGATAAAAAATAATAAAAAAAATATCATATATGTAATTTAAAATTTATTGAGCGTATCATATTAGATTCATTGCCACGCCCTTAACAATCAACGCTATAAAATCTACCTATCTAATTTGCTACACTGCCAGTCTTTGAGTGAAGTTAATAAATGAGTTTTAAATATAATTGTAAAAAAACTAAACCTAAAATGTTAACATTCTCAGTGAAATAACAAAACAATAAAACATAATTATTTTGTACTTCTATATACGTATAAAAATTAACATAAAAAAAACAGCCGTTGTATCTTATAGATCTAAGTTATTGGTAAATTGAGATCAATCATTAAAATCAAGTCAAAAATCAGTCATAAAATTAAAAATAAAATATAAATAAATAAATAAAGTATTATTTTTTAATATGGTATTCTATGAAACAATTACGTTCCGGCAATAAGCACAACCTCAATTTACATTTTTGACAAAAAAAATTTGTCAGCCCCTTTGTGTAATACATACACCTTCCTCTGCTGGTTATTATAGTTGGATAGTGAGCAACTTGATCATACCGTACAGCATCTGGTGGTCTTTCAGCTGCTGGTTTCTGTATAGTCTTGGTTGATTTCATGCCAGGCCCTCTGATATCGCTCATATCATTTCTTTCATACCTCCTTAAGCTTTCATAAATTTCCATTCTAAAGTTTTTTAGTGATTTTCGTTTTTTGGTATCAATTCTAGCATTTCTATCACGTCGATATAGAAGCCAGGAATTGTTTATACAGATGTCGAGCATTTGAGAAAATATTGGTAAATACCAACGATGGTCTCGGAATGGTGTACGATATAGAGCGACCAACATGTCGGCGAGATCAACACCGCCCATGTTAGTGTTATATTCTTTTATTATATTGGGGCAAGTCACTGGCACTTTTCTACCCTCTTCTTTCTTATAACGAACCACAGTCTGGGTAGGATACTCATCCACAAAAGTACTTGCAGCAGTAACACATTTGTTGTCGAACCATTTAACAACAGCAATCTTGTTTTTATTGCATACGACTTGTGCATGAGATCCTCTACCCTTTTTTTTTAGATTTTTATCCGTGGGTAGTTTATTCTCCGCTCCTCGGAGCCTGTTTGCTCGGATTGTACCCATTGCAAAAATGCCGCGTTCATTGCGCAAATATTGTAACAGCTCAATAGATGTGAAAAAGTTATCGAAACACAGAATTTTGCAAACAGGTTGTCGAATAGATTTTGCCAAAGCTAAAACTACTTTTGACCCTAGGCCCATACTATTTTCTTCATCCGTGAAAGAGTGAAATCTGAACGTGTCATCGCCTCCATAGATCAGGAAGTCGTAAACTATTCCAGAGACACCTGCGCGAACAAATGTTTTATAACCCCATTTTTTCGGTTTATTTTTTATATATTGTTTTCGGCTGCCTGCTCTTGTTCCTTTATGTGGAACCATCATTTCGTCTATGCTGAAACGTGTCTCTTCTTCTACTTGTAAACAATTCTCACTTATTTTTTTTAAGGACTGGTCTCACCTTATAATACCTATCACCATCGTCTTTCCAGTTGTCATTAAAATGCAAATAACGCCTCAGTAATTGGAACTTCTTGAGGGTAATTATATCAGCTACTTTGTCGCATCGCGTAAGTTTAGCCCAATAATCTGTATAAGCTGGCAATTTATTGACACTCATATATACAAGAATTGCCAGAAAATCTTTGATATCTTCTTCTGTAATATTTTTTGAATTGCCATTTAATTGTGTGCTATATAAATTTGTTTGTTGCACTATAAGAGAAATGATGTCATCAGAAAAGAAAAGCCTAAAGTATTCAATTGGACTTTTCTCTTCACGTTGCTCAAACGCGATATCATCTACTTCTGCACACCCAGTAAACTTGAAGCGACCCCAATTAGGTTCCAACCTTTTTGGTGGTATTACTCTGCGCCTTACTGTGACAAATCTAGGTTTCTTTGAACGAGTAACTGTTGAAGGAGAAGGTGCAAACAATGGTGACAGCGGCGGTAACTGATTACGCCGCTTGAAGTTACTAACTATTGGTGAAGGTACTTGTGAGGGAGTAGCCTGTATAGATGGTGATAATGGTGACGGTACCGGACACCAAGGACTAGTATCAGTTTCTGGCGGATTGGGTGATAAAATTGATGGCGAACAAGGGTTGATTGATGGTGATGACACTGATGACTGTTGATATAGTACCAAAGATGTTGAAGCAAACACTTGATTTACCTCAATATCGTCATCTGAGAGAAGATTTAGGTTTTCTATTGAAGATGGCAGTGATGGAGGTGGTGAACTGCTGTCGGAGTGGGTAGGGCGGGTGTAGTACTGAAATTCATCCTCAGATGATTCAGTTTCGTCCAAATCTGATTTTGCTCCCGGCTTTGGAACAAGAGCTACGAGTTGCCGAGCTCTTCTTTGTTGTTGAATAATAAGGTGAGGAAGTACCTGCGGAAGAAAACGAGAAATAATTGTAATAAAATTGTCATCTTGACCACATTTTGACCACAACAGCCAATATAATCGTAGTCTAACTATAGCCGCGGTCTTGGAATCAAACCCGAGTAGTATCTATACAAAGCAGGCAATGTCACATATTTGATACGTAGCAAAAAATATCTAGAATGTTCGCCATCTGGCAATGTATCATATTTGCTACACAGGAAAAACACATAAGATAACACGCACTTACAATTCATTTAGGTAAAGGAAAATAACGTTTATGACTAGAATATATAATAAGCTATGCGAATTAGACTACTTTTGATAACAATTTGAACAAAATATACTAAATAATGATTATTCTTACCTTGCGATGCGCAAACGCAGTCGATCGGTCCGCCATCTTGCGTTCTACAGCTTTTTTGGTGTTGCAAGCACGTAAAGAGTATTTTTGGTAGAAATATAAGTATATTTTCTAATATATTAAACAATAAAAATTTTAAAAATTCATTTGAGAAAGTCTCGGGATTTTCTAAAAGTTGAACGTATCAAATTGTACACAGTGCCAAGAATAGGGATATAACTAAACTAGCTGTTCCCCGCGACTTCGTCCGCCTGGAATTATTTAGCGTGGAACCCTAAATTATAAGTAGCCCAAGTTACTCCTTATAACATGAACTATCTGCCAGTGAAAGTCCCATCCAAATCGGTTCACAGGTTAGGTTTTTATAGAATAAGGGTGAAAAACGAGCACACAGTCCACCTGATGGTAAGTGGTTGCTGTGGCCCATAGACATCTACATGTATCTTCGTTTGCGAATTAAAATGCAGATGAGTTTTCAGCCGTGAGGACTAAGATGGAATGCCTTTTTTCCAGTAAAAAGGGTCTCCGGTTCTCTACACTCACCATACAAAACACATCAGCAATAAGCTGCTATTTTACGCTGATCTCTCTTACCTCAGTCTTACCGGTCGAGCCGACCCATTCGTGTTACAATTATACTATTAATATTGCTGCAGCATGGCTCTACCACGTATGAACGTATTACGTGATGCGTGTTCAGACAGACGCCTTTTTTCTACCTTATCTTACATTTATCGTTATATTTTGGCCAATTAACACGATATCTTTATTTTATTTTTTTATAGAATAGGGGTGACAAACGAGCACACAATTCACCTGATGGTAAGTGACTGCTGTGGCCCATAGACATCTACATCTATCCTCGATTACGAGTCAAAATGCAGATGCGTAGTCACCCGTGAGGACTAAGATGGAATGCCTCTATTCCAGTAACAAGGGTCTCCGGTTCTCTACACTCACCATACGAAACACAGCAGGAGCTGCTATTTTACGCTGGTATTCTGTGAGAGCGTGGTCCTTACCCGGTCGAGCCGACCCATTCGTGCTACAACTATACTATTAATATAGCTGCAGCATGGCTCTACCACGTTAAATTAATTATAGCTTATGTGTTATTCTGATGTATGAGCTATATAATTGTAAAGTTTCTTTAAAATCCATTTAGTAATTTTTGCGTGAAAGAGTAACAAACATTCAGACATCCTCATAAATTTTCACGTTTATAATATTAGTAGGATATTAAAAAAATGGTTTGCAGCAACAAAAAGGCCACGGCCTCAGCATAATGTCACAGTAACAGAGTTACCGCAGCGCTGACATGCTGTCGGAGCCATATAATATGGTATGTTTGGTTTTGGATTTAATTTTATTAATTATAGGATCCCAAGCATATGGTAGCAGCCATCCATCTTCTTTATTGAAATTAGGATGTTTTTCAATTTTAATACTCTCATCATCAAGAACCATCCTTGGTATAAATCGCTGTTCTTTTGCAAAGATTTATGGTATATCAGATCTGAAATAATAGCGGGGACGATCTTGAACATGTTCACTGACTGCAAACTTTTAAGTCTGCAGCCTGTAAACATGTTTGTGAATATACGTAAAATTAGTTTCATTTAACTTGTAGTAGGTATTCGCGTAAATATAAGAATACATTAAAATTGAAGTGGCTGTCTGTTGGGTGTAGTGACTGTGTAAGAATATTTACTACTCCATATTATCACGTGGGTGTCGTAAGAGGTGAATCCTTTAGAAACTTAACTATAGAGGATCGCATAAAAAAGGCAAATGATTACAATGTTTGTCTTAACTGCTTGCGCGTCACTCACACATTGCCAATATTGCAAAACAAAACACAATACGCTTTTGCATTTAGAATTTAGTGAACCCAAACCATTTTCTAATCCATTGCCTTCTGCTATGCCTTCTGCTTTGCCTTCTGCGTCAAACATCGCACTATCAGCCAATTCCTTGCAGCTTGCTACCTCTGCGCATGTTTTACTCTCCACAGCTGTGGTGAACGTGGTCAGCGGGACGGGTAAGAAGTACACTGCGCGGCTACTGCTGGACAACGGTAGTACCGCCAACTTTGTTACGCAGAGACTATCAGAGAAACTGGGTATGTCACATCGCGGTACGAGCACCAAGGTAACGGGTATAAATAATTACATATCCACCAGTACACAGTCTTGTCACCTCACAATTGAGCCTTTATGCTGTGCCTTTACTGTTGATATCGAGTGTCATATTTTACCTGAAATAACAAAGGTTCTACTGTCTTCATTCGTGCATATAAATCATTTCCCTATTCCTTCAGGTCTTACACTAACAGACCCGAACTTTAATGTTCCGTCGGTCGTAGACATCCTGGTAGGGGCTGAGGTGTTTTGGAATGTCTTAGGCAGCAAAACTATAGATTTAGGGAAACATCTACCTAAATTTTGCGAAACTAAATTCGGTTGGCTCGTCTTCGGTAGTATTTCGCATCAATCTAGTTTTGTTTCATCACCAAATTGATGTTGTTCGTAAAAATGATGGTAGGTTTGTCGTGACGATACCCTTAAAAGAAGACCCTAGAACTTTAGGGCATTCGTATGAAAACGCAAAAAATCATTTTCTATCCCTGGAGCGGCGATTTAAACGCAATCCTTCATTTAAAACTAAATATTGTGAATTTATGAGAGAATATGAACATTTAGGTCATATGACATTAGACTCAGATTGTACTTCTACGTCTGAAAACTCCGTGATCACTTACTTCATTCCACATCATGGAGTCATTCGTAGCTGTAGTACCGCTACTCAACTACGCGTAGTATTCGACGCATCAGTCTCTTCCAGTTCGGGCGTGTCTCTTAATAACATTCACATGGTCGGTCCCGTAGTGCAAAACGATCTATTTTCCATTTTAATACGTTTTCGTCGATCTTTTACGGCATTAAACCTTTTGTTAATACAGTCCACTTATTTTATTTTGTAAAGTTCCGATAGGGCCTAAACATATTGACTATTTTCGCTTCGACAACGCATGGACCACGATGGAAACTAATCAGGAGATGGTTAGCAGTGTCTTCCTAATAACAAGTAAACTGAAAAAAAAACTGACAATCAAAAAACAACCAAAAGTTGCCAATCCGCCTGCCATGCGTGGCAACTATGGCAAACCTCCTCATTTTATGGGGAGGCCTATGTTCTGCTGTGGACATTGATAGGTTGTAATGAATTAATGAATGACATCTGTCCATTTTTTTAAATCCGTCTGTCTCTGGTCTACTCTTTGGAATGGATGAACTGATTGTGATGATACTTTATGAATATAGAGAGCAATGCCTGGAGGGATCTAAATTTAATTAAAAAAAAAACATAAGATTTTTATGATAAAACGAAAAATTAATAAAATAAATGATCTTAAATCTAAATAACGCCACATTAATAGGGTTATTGTGTGATTATTATTATTACCACATTAAATTCCTAATCAGGCGAATCCAGGGCGGGTTTTCAATAATAATTTTTTTTTGTATATTGACATTACCAGCTCTGATCAACAGCTCTGGCTGAAGCTGCTTCAGAGAGGACTCGGACAGGTCACTCATCCGAGCTTCACGCGCCTCCTCGGCATACCTGCCTTCAGTCTCGATCAACTCGTCCGTGAGCCACAAGAACTGCTCATAGTCCGCGAAGCAGGAGTCCAGGACTCCCTTCTCCACATCCGAATCCTCGAGCTCAGCGTAAGCCTCCTCCACTGCGGCCCTTCGAGCATCCACCTGCTCGAACTGCTTCATCAAGTTATGGACCCTATCCGGTCGACCTATCAAAGCATGGGCGCTTGTGGCCCAGCGTAGCTCAGTCCGCAAACAACGGATCAGTAGCTTGGGCGATGTCATCACTATTAAATGCAAAATTACGACGCGGCTTGAGCACAGACTACAAAAATAACAAACAAAAAATACAACAAAAATTAACAGTTAATAAATGCAGTTCCTATCAAATCGCGTTGAATAGAAATTACACAAATACGAATTACTACGTATCAACCAAATACAAGTTAGCACAAAAGAAAAGACACAAATCAAATTAACAAATAACAAATACTAGTGCGATCAATTCAAGTTAAATTCAAATTGCGCAAATACAATTACTACTCTTTAGTAATAATAATAATAATAATAGGATAAGACCTCCTAATAAATAGGCGTAGGGAAGTGACGACCCCATCGCCCGCTGACGTAACAGTTAAGTGACAAAACTGCTATGTCAGCGCAGTCAGTCAGTGCCTTGCCAAGAGGTGTGAGCGCCGTGCCTCGGCAGTATTGAGGGTGCAAAGGCCCGTTTGTGCTTACGGCCACACTATTAAACGGCGCCGGGTCTGGGCGTCTCCCGTTAATTGACGCCCAATTCAATGGATGATGGAAAATTATAGAACGCGCATAGGGCCGCTGCCTGGGGGTCGCCGGGGCGCGTCTGGAGCTGGCGCTGGACGTGACAGCATGCGAGCCGCCAGCCGAGCGCGAGGTGCTGCACGACCACCTAGCAGCCCCTCGCGTCCATCATCCCCACCAGACGGCTTGGTGTCGGCGGGGTCCTCTCGGACTCGGCAAGCGGCACCCGCCGCTGGTGGAGTACGCCGCATGCGTTGGACAAAACATATGAACATAAACGCATTGCGGGCGTACTATAGGGCGAAAGGGGAAGAAACTGGAGGGATAGCGTATCGGGCTCGGATGCATCGCTTTTTTGCTGAGCTTGAGCCGTCAGTTCCCGTCACGTAGCAAAACCTGGCAGACCGAGTTCGGTACATCATACGCTCGAAAATATTTGATGATGCCGAACTCGAACGACTACGACGTGAGGCTATTCCCTCATCGAATGAACCGGCTAGAGCTGGGGATGCGGATGTTCAGGCCACAGACCAGCAGCCACATATAGAGGGCGCCATGGATCTCCCTGCTCTGGTTGATTCAGGCGATGATGGAATAGTCACCCAAGAACTAGAGCAGATGAGGAGTAAATTGGAGGAGGCGATTGTGGAAACG